CTGTCCCATATATAGCTTTCTGTGTACAGTGCTTGTTACTTTACCAAGGCTCGGCAAAATTGATGATGATTTTGATGACTCCAGAACCTTGCAGTGCAGACCAATACTTACACGCTACATGATCAACTGTTTCTGATCCATTCCACACCTTTTCTTTCACAATGCAATCGCATTACCAGAACTCACCTTTATCTTTAAGGGGGATATACTCATACACCTTTTAATACAAGTCTGAATTGTAGCCATAATAGTTGTTGATAAAGACATTGCAAAATCGTTGTATCAGAACGCAAACATATCTCGTTTATACACTTTAGATCTACGCTTGCTATAGTTGATAGTTGGTAAAGTAACAAGCACTTTTAAAAAAATGATAGTGACGGTAGTAGTAATAATGTTAATAACGATAATGATAATGATATTATATTTATTTTTTACAACGTGATGATGGTGTTAATGATTAACAGTAATAATATGTTACTATACCTGTCATGAAATCACAACTTTAAAAAAATTGTCATGCAATGTTTTGTTTTCTTTTTCTTTCTTTTTTCTTTTTTTTTTTTTTTTTTTCTCTTTCTTTTCTTTTTTTCTTTTTCTTTTTCCTTCTTTTTTCTCCCTCTTTCCTCCATTTTCTTCTCATCTATCTTTTCTTTTTAAAGCTTTATTATAACTAATATCAGGTGCATCTAGTCGGGTGTGGGGAGGAAGGTCTGCGGATCACAGTTATTTGGTTAACTTTTTCCATACCCGGGCAGCTCGACCGGATGCACCTGCTATTGCATTATTTATATATGCTTTCTATTGATTTTTTTAATCTCAATTCATGTTTGTTATATTGTTGTATTATGTGACTTGATTTGCCAAATAAAATAATAATAATAATATCTAAGAACATTTTACGGAAGGAATATTATTTCCCAAGCTTTATCCTATCTTATCAATGTCATCTTGATCAAGAATGATTAAGAAGCCATTTTTTTGTTTAGCTATTTCGCGATAAGGATTCAATTCTAACCTGTCTCTGGCAGTAGAAACTTCAGCGGCTGCTGCTGATGAATCTTGATAAGGAATGGCGACTGATGTAGATGTCGACGGTCTCGGGGATGTGGGAACTGTGTCTCCTAGTGATGTCTCGGTTATTCCTGATTGTAAGAGTGGGACATTTTGTTGACTTCGAATATTTATTCATTATGTTCGTGTTATTGGTTGTAAAATCATGTTGCATTAGAAATTTATTTGCGATTTAATCACAAAGCATAATCATGTTTCAAAGAGTAAATCTTGTTACCAAATATTGTTATTAACATTTTGTGTTATCTGCTAACAATCAAAATTCATGTTGGTGAGTTCAAGTTTGAATTTAAAAGATTTGTAGTGATTAATGTAAGCATAATCATTACATCTCCACTAAGCTTTTTTCTTAAATTTGGAGGGGGAATGAAATAGTAAGAAAAAATAGATATTAAACATAATGTACAAAGCAAACAGTAGGTGAGTTTTCATCGTAAATCGATCCGGTTCATTGTGTGTGCATGGAGACTGAAAGGCTATAATTATGTTTATGTCCATTTTTCGTTTGCGATTATTGATTTTGTCTGTGCTGTATGTATGCATCCACATAATTATCATGATTATGTTATCTATTTCACTTAAAAACTGGCTTTCTCAACACATGTGTTGTGTAAATAATAATAAATATATATACACAAAAGTACAGAACACACAGTTATAGGCATGTATTTATCTTTTTTTCTAAGTGAATTCTGCCCATGGCACTCATAATGTTCGTCCATGACAAAGAGTTTGAACATCTGTAACAGAAGACAAAGCTTGGGTTTAACATTCAATCGATGTGACGAGAAAAACAACTTCCTGTACTAAAATGTGCCGTTAAAAGTAAATGTCAATGGCAGTTACTTTAGATAGAACAGACAACAAGAGCCTAAGTCAATATTACTGGTTCTAACTCATCCGTCAATGTCTAGGGACATTTTATTTATTCTATATCCAGGAGGTAACCATTGCAACCAAATGTTATGAAGTTTCAACACCTTTGCAGGTGATACCTTTTTTAAGTAAAACATAAACAGTTTCCTATGATGCATTGGTTATTTTCGACATGCCCTAAACCTTTCAAGACCTGTAAAATGTCTGCCGCTTACAGATTGAATGAATGGCAAACATCTGTGGTTTTCTCGGTTGCTTTGATTCTAATTGATGTTATTTACCTTCTAAGTGCATGGGAAAGTGGAATCGCTTTCTTGTGCTCTGTTCCAAGATGAAATGTAATATCACTTTATTCTCTTCAGCGGTTCGTGTATCCACTGTGAACCACACTTTTTGCTCTGTCAGATGGGGAATGTCACTTTCCTTTAGAGTCTACGAAATAATCATATATATATATACAGACTATGTATTTATATATACATATATATGTGTGTGGGGAAATAAACGAGACATATTTATCAGACTGAAATGCTTCTATTTCATATTACAAAAATATATATAAAAACATTCGTATAAAGCAAAATCACAATATTCCTATAACAATTTTGAAATGAAAAATGCTTAACAGAAGATAACCAACCATAAATTGCCTAATTCTCGAATTGCCAAATTATGAGTTTTATATCATGTGGTCAATAAATAGCTCATTTAACTGATGCTCAAGAAAAAAAACATTATCCGATTCTATTACTGAACATTTATTGAGTACATATAGGCCCAATTGCATTTGTCCAACTTTATACAAAATATTAAAAATGATTTGGGGCATGTATTGTCCTACTTCCATTTAATCAGCCAATACTTAGCATTTCAAATCCAATAAAATATTGAACAATTTGATTTAAACTGCTTGTTTGAATGTTATCATTGCCTCGTCTTTCTCGGTGCTTTCTAGGCAAGTAATCTTCAATCCTCCAGAACGCCACCTAAAGCTACAGTCCCATATACGTCCCGGACCGTCCCGGACCATCCCGGACCCCATCCGGGGTGATCCGGGATTCGGTCCGTGTTGACACCGTGTTGGCTCCGGGGTGGTCCTGGATGGTCCTGGATGGTCCTGGATGGTCCTGGATGGTCCTGGGCGGTCCGGGAGTCGACCCCGGATGTTTTTGACGGTCAAAAACTGCCGGGGTGGTCCGGGACGGTCCGGGACAATAGTTTGATCCGGGGTGATCCGTGTAGCCACCGTGCTGGGTCCGGGGTCATCCGTAGTGGCGCCGGGGCGGTCCGTGTTGATCCGTGGCAGTCCGGGAGTGAGTTATTGACCGCCCAGGACCATCCAGGACCATCCAGGACCATCCAGGACCACCCCGGTGCCAACACGGTGTCAACACGGACCGAATCCCGGATCACCCCGGATGGGGTCCGGGATGGTCCGGGACGGTCCGGGACGTATATGGGACTGTAGCTTAAAAGCATCACACTTTTTTGAACAAAACATCCCGGACCATCCCGGATCACCCCAAACCATGGTCCGGGATGGTCCGGAGTGGTCCGTGCTCGTCCGTGCTGGTCCGGCTTTATATGGGACTGGGGCTTAACTAAGAATTGCTCTCCCGGGATCGGATCAATGTATCCACGCGGCACCTTAAAAGTTGAGGAAAAAAAATTAATAGTTCAAGTTCATATGCGTTTCCACTAAACAAAGTGTAAACTATAAGTTATATAGAGGGAGAGAGTATGAAGAAGAAAGAAAAGGGGGAGGAAGGTAACTGACCCATGAACAAATACATTCAGAACTACAGAAATTTAGGATTTAAAAGACCAGAAGAGGATCTACTACACGAGAGATATTTATATCTACCATAATAATAATTTTTCTATAAATAATAATGATAATAATATTGAAATTAATCATAATACTTATAACGATCATAATAATAATAACAATAATCATGAAGATTTTCATTATTATTGATTTTTAAACATCCATTTATTGATCAAACGTATCCAACAAGGACACGAAATAGCCCAGGATAAAACTGAATGATTAGAAGATGCAATGAATTTTGTGTTTTTACAAGTTTATAATAATTGGGTCTTATATACCCAGGGTAAGCACAACACTACGAATGCTTCTCTTCCTGCGGGCCCTCCAATTATTATTACCTCAGCATTTCCAGGTACCCGTTTACACGTGGTGGAGAGTGGAAAATGTGGATTGATGTTTTGCCAAAAAAACGTCAGCACCTGGCTTGGATTCAAACCTCAACACTTCGATTGAGAGTAACGTGAGTGGACCACAATAACACGGCACCTTATCGTATAATCCCTAAACAGTTAAACTTGATATTGATTGTAATATAAAGTTGTATCGAAGGAGATGACGATGAAGAGCAAAATGATAAGAAGAAAATACAAAAAGAAAGAAAACCAACCTCTCCCTTTCCGATGTTTTCATCTCTTACACGGACAAACAACACATGTTCATCATTCTTCGGAGTTAACACAGGAATATATGGTGTACAAATAACACATTTTCCGATAAATGCCCATGTGATGATAGCTACAATCCATATTTCGGAGAAGTGGTCCATGTAGACATCGAGGTCGTGATGTCTCACAACACATTGTGTGCTGCCGTTAGTAGAAGGAATCGCTGTAAAACTTTCAGAAGCTAATAATGCAAAATATCAACAAAAGAATCTTGTAAACATACGTTTACCCAAACCCTTTAATATCATTTTACAAAATTACTTGTATGTCAAATTAATCAAAAAGTATCGCAGTTCTTGCATTTTATTACAAAATAAAGGAACCATGTCCTGTATTCTCTAACAGTAATCATAATTCTTTGCCCCATCCCAACCAATACAACTTCATGTCTTAAAGGTTTGAAAGGCGTTTTGGGGATTAAAAAACAGCCATAATTATATGTTTGTATTTGTGCAAACCGAGGAACTTGGAGAGACACTTGATATAGAATTTTGAATGGGTCACTGAACCTGCCATAAACTGACAGATCACTATTGATGATGATTTGTGCAATTAACTTCCTTGAGAATATATATTACTTTACTTAATGAATGGCAGAGTGAATGGGACAGAGAGAGAGCGAGACATTGAGAAAGACCAGACTTTACCACTCTTGCGATGATAAGTGACGACTTCCGCAGCCTCTGGCTTTGTGAATATTCCACAATGGGGCATCGTTACTGTCACCGGAACGTCGAAGGTTGCATCGGATGGCGACATTCTCAAGCCGAAGGAAATAATGGCTTCCGTTTCCTTCAGCACCAACTCAGGTGGAATGTCATGGATTGGTTCGACGGTTACATCTTTTGCGCTGTAAGCTTGATTCGGTGGAATTCTTACTTCAATACCATGCTTCTCAAGCCGGATCACGTCAGTATCCTCACTCAAATCATCCCTGCTTATAGGATTTTGAACTGCGATCTCATCGTGGAGGGCGCTCGGTGAAGAGATTTGGTGAACAGGCTCTGGTATCTGACCCTCGTCATCTGCAGGTTGTGAAGTGTCTTCATGCGGTCTGAAATACGCCGGCTTTGCTCTTTTTCCAGCTTCCATCCATGCAAACATGGCTCGCTTGGAACGCTCTTTTTCTGTAAATGATTTTGGATACACTACTCGTAATCATTACTGGATTTGTATAGTGCCTTTTTCCAGAAATAAAATCCTACTTCTGAACAGAAGTAACAACATTTGGGGGTAGTTGGACTTTTTAAACACTGATTTTACAATAAGAATAAATAATAATACATAAACGTAAAGTTATACATTATAAACTTGCATTTTATTTTTAATTAATAGGGGTCTTAATATCGATTCATTGACATTGTATGAAGGCGAACATGTAAAAATTATTCAATTGCTGCGCTTTGAAATATGATCCATTCTGTAAAAATATTACAGATATAAAGGGAATGCCTACCTTCATCTTCATGATGCTCGTCAATACTCAAAACTCTAAAAATGAAAGACCAAAATTGTAGAAAAATGTTAAGCAATATCCAGGTACAGACAAAAGAAACGTATCATCTTATAACAATCTAAGATTCTATTATTAACACGAGATTCATTTGATCGTCATGTTGATGTTTTATATACCTATCCAGTACTTGCTTTTGAAAATGATATCCAAAAAGGTGTAGAAATTGTCAACATAAATAAAGTGATTATTACACACAAGTCTCTTCCCAACCTGGCTGGGGATTTACTCTTGACTAGGCCTCGGCCTTTGCTAATCGCTCCACATATACTCAATTATCGTGTTATTTATCGTTCTGTACTGCATGTTTTTGTTCCGAATGTAATATTTTGATTTTTTGTTCTGCTCTGTTTTACATATTTTACTGTCTTTATTAGTTTTGTGGAAATAAACAAATTGAAATCATTTTTCGCAATTCTTATTACAAGTATTCAGGGTTAGCCCATCGGAAACAAGGGAAAGGCAGACAATATACCTATGAACTCTGTCAGGTATGTGTTTAGAAGTTGAGGAGGTCCGTCTACGTGCACGAACTGAACGGGACATGTATTCGCCATCTGAAATGAACATTAAAGAAATGAACGTTATTATAAATATCTGTCTGAGACTCAACAAACATATTTAAACTCGACACAAAATACTAAAAATTATCTTGTGTCTCCTTGCAAGAACCTTATAATTAACTCACAACTACCTTTGAATGCTGAAATGGCATATAATAGCAGGATACGTGAAGCAGACCCACCTAATGCTATTGAGAAATACTTCCCAATTGATTAAATTGACTTGAGTATTAATAAATAACTAGGGTATTTACACCCTTTTCACTCTATGTTATTTAAACATTAGAAGAAGAACTTTAGTAGAAGATAGGGCAACTTACAACGTTTCGGAAAGCGAACCTCCCTCTCCTCCTCTAGCAACGTGCTGTAACTGTACGATGATAATAATAATAACAACATCAACAATACTACTAATACTACTACTACTATTACTACTACTACTACTACTAATAATAATAATAGTAATAACAATTATAATAATAATAATAATAATGATAATAATAAAAATAATAATAAACATAACAATAATGATAATATTGATCATAATAATGATAACGATAATTATGATAATAATGATAATAAAACTGTTGTTTACCCATGAAAGCCTTATCAGCCTCATTGCTATTTTTCCCGAGGTCCTGCAATTATATTTATTTTATGATTCTTTGGTACGAACGTATTTTGTTTTTAGTCTCGGGTCACAGGGAGAGATTTTTATCGCAAATTACAATAAACGCCAAATTCATCCTTGATCTGTAAAAATGTTTCCTTAAAGTGTGTTTAATTTGCACTGTTGTAAAGGTAAAAACACTATGTTTTTGGCAAAAGGCTATAACGCCTTTATAATTCTTCTGTACCTGATAGAAGCTAGAAACTAATGATACCCTTTTAGGCCAAGAGCATTAGGTCAAAATAGGCTTAAACCTGGACATTTTTGGTAACAAGCTGATTTTTTCAGGATAGGTCCAGAAATATGTCTAAAATAACATACTAAAAGTCCTCGTGAATCCTCCTTGAGCGTTTTCCGTAATCCAAGATGGCGTCCAAAATGGCCGCCATTTCCTGAATTTCTTATAGCTTTGCAACTAGATCACCCAAATACAAAATTTAAATGTCTAAATATATGTTTTTTAGCATAAGGAACTCATTGAAATACATGTTGATAAATTTTGAAACACACAAGTAGCTATAAACCACTTTAGCCCATCCCGAAATCCAAAATGGCGCCCAAAAATGCCGCCATTTCCTGTATTTCTTATAACTGTGCAATTAGATAACCCAAATACCAAATTTAAATGTCTAAATATATGTTTTCAGCATAAGCAACTCAACCAAATACTTATTAATACATTTGTTAACACACAAGTAGCAGTAAAACTACTTGAGCCCTTTCCGAAATAAAAAATGGCACCCCAAATGGCCACTCTTTCCAATTTTATCTCATTGTATTAAAGTAGATACGTTATGAATACAATCAAATGTCTATACTAGAAAAGCACCATTGTAATACATATCAGTACAAATAAACCTTTCATTAAATAATTAAATACTTCTTATACATAAAGTATACACACCCACCCACCCACCCACACACATATGCACACATATGGCTGCTTCCATCAGACTGAGAGTGTGCAACCGTGAAGAGTACTCAACGTTAGATGGAACTGAAAATGGAGACACATTAGTACCAATTAATGTTGCACGGGCAAAAGTCACAAGGTTTCAAACAGGAAATACACCTCAATAAGGGAGTTTACAGATAGCACATGGTACAAATGACCCCAAATATCCACAGATCTTTAACACATGGAGAAGTTCCACTTTGAGCATATTAGAATTATAACTGCCAAAGTCCTAGATGTGCTTCTAGAATACCTTTTGTTTGCCCTCTTGAAAAGAATACTTCCACCTGCGTATCATAGAATGTCCCGTTGGTGCATAAATGAATAATGTTACATAACTTTCATGAGCGAATATCCAGTATTCATCTCTGTGGGTTTTACCTTTCTGGTACAAATGACCTTTATCTGCCCATGCGCAGATTGTATCTATGAACTGGCTTATAGCACATATGCCATGTCATCTCAGCTAGTCATTTCTGTCGCCAATATTGTTGAAATAGCTGCGTATAAACACCGGAAGAGTGGCTCACGTAAACAGGTAGACATCTTGAACTGAGCAACATGAGCTTTGTCCTTAATGGAGTGGTTTCATGAAAGTGGCCATGCAGAGTGACCAGTACGAGAATTGAAACTCTGCCCTTCATAAATTTAGACCCCTCCAATCCGAGTACCATCTACACTGCACTATACTTTGCACAATCACAATGTGAAAAACATAACTTAAGAATATGTGCAGTAACATTTGACCAGCCCTCGTACATCAAGGCGGCAGAGATTGTAGCTTCTTCTCAAGACCTAGGAAAAGTAATCGTCCGTTTTGGTGGATTTAAGCTCCTCATGTCATATCTCGGCAGCATATAGTCCTTGCATGGGCGGAAGTATGCTTGCAGAGCTATGGGAGACAGTGTACGCCACAGGGTCTGTCATACATATGCAATCTGGTCATGCATTTTCCCCTTCTCTTCGTGCTCACATTCTTACTTCAGCTGCCCGCATTGGCGTGTTGATGGGTAAACCTGGCGTCTTAGACAGCATAGATAAGGACCACTTAGCAAATCTGTATGGTGCACTCCTCAACCAGGACAAGAAGGTGACTGCTGTACCTGAAAAGAGTGTGTCAAACAGTTAAAGTCAGATCATTTCACAACTCTTTGACCGGGCAGCAGGACACAGTAGGACAGGGAAACTTTGGTTGCAGTATATCCGACATTTATGTGTCTCTTCTGCAATGTTTCATTCCAGCTGAAAGGACAGGGGACTGGAAGCTCCATCTCAGCTGTGTGAGGGAAATGATACAACATTTCCATGCTGCAGGACATCTTCCCTAGTTCATATCAAATCAAATTTTTACAACAGATGGAAGCTCTAGAGCAAACCATGCCAGGAAATGAATATACACAATTTGCAGAAAAGGGATACTTCACCATCCGCCGTGTGGATTCATTCTGGGGTGGAAACTTCTCTGATCAGACCATTGAGAAGTTCCTGATGCGGCAGCTGAAAACATCTAGAGAAATGACTCGTGGACGTGGAATCACAGACAGTACATTGGCTAAGTGGGTTCATGGACTTCCTCACTGTGTTCCTACCTGTGATGAACTGGAACAGTTCACCGGAGTACACACTGGTATATCAGAGCAGTATAAAGACATACAGCAAAGTATCAGGTCAAGAGACAATAAAGAAAGATGTATCTTTGTTGGATGGCTGCAGGCACATCACCATTTGCTGGATACGAAACTAATTGCCTGGTCTCCTTGTCAACTGGCATCGTCGCTGGCTCATCTGTTAATTGTCATTAACCTGTACAAATCGGCCTAGTAGCGGCATCCGAAACGATGAATGGTAGGAAGTTAACAGATATCAAGCTACGTACATCGTAAGGACAAAGTGAAGACCATTGGTGCCAAGAGTAAGAGAGTGAAAATCAGGGGACAAAGCACATAAGTCAACTCAACGCTACTGTTCAACAGAATCACATGTGTCCTGAATGCCAACACTGAGATGGAATCGTTCTTTGCTTATGAACCTTTTCCCACGCACTTTCCCTTTCAAAGGTGGGGTGATGCGGAAGCAAACAAAGAGTTATCTGGGTCTCCTGCTGAATTCGTTCTCCAAGCAATCCAACCTGCCAGAAATGGTCTCTTTGTTTAAGATGATGGTCGCCTACTGCACCCCAAAGCATTATGGAGCTCATTTGACGGTAGTGTTCGATGGATATGGAAGTGCAACTTCGACAAAGGTAGCTGAGACGAATAGCCCAAAGATGTACCTCTTTATTTGATGGTATTATATGCCAACAAGCACAACCCAACACAGCTTCCCTTGCCAACAGCAACAATAAGATGAGACTTATACAAACTCTATGCGACAAAATACGTATCAAGCAGGCAGAAGCGGATGCCACTACCCTGATTGTCTCTACAGCACAAGCAGTAGCAGAGTCATACAGGTGCCCGTTGTTGTCGTTGGTAAGGACACAGACTTACTGGTCATGCTAGTTGCTCCGGCAACCACTTCCACAGATATGCACATGCTATGCCGCAGTAATCCTGTCACGGTCCTGTCAACATTCATGAAATTCAGCATGCCATAGGGGACACTAGAAACTGCCTGATGTTTCTTTATGCTTTGGCAGGGTGTGATACGGTCTCTGCAATCTACCGTCAGGGCAGTCGTAAAACTTTCAATATGGTCCACAAGAAACTTGACTATGACTTGCTTGATACATTCGCAGTGGAAGCACCCATTACAAGGTAAACAAAGAGCCGGGAACTTGGGGCCAGCAGTTTTGAATATCTTGATGACTACCGTCACACTGCATACACTTAAGCGGGCAATTGATCGCAGTTCTCTGAGTTCATCCTTTCAGTTAGAAAGTCTACCTCCAACTAGTGCTGCAGCAAAGCAACATCCATACCGCCCATATCTTACAGTCATTATGTATAAAAAGCTTTAGCGACCTTGGTACTAATGTGTCTACATTTTCAGTTCCATCTAATTTTGAGTACTCTTCACGGTTGCACACTGTCAGTCTGATATCGTTGAGGATGATGGAAGCAGCCATATGTGCATGTGGGTGTGTGTGTGTGTGTACTTTATGCATAAGAAGTGTTTTTTAATTAAAAGATTGTTGTACTGATACGTATTTCAATGGTGCTTTTCTAGTCTAGACATTTGATTATATTCATAACGTATCTACTTTAGTACAATGAGATAAAATTGGAAATAATGGCCATTTTGGGTGCCATTTTGGGTGCCATTTTGGATTTCGGGAAGGGCTCAAGTGGTTTTACTGCTACTTGTGTGTTTCAAAATTAGTTAATAAGTATTTGGTTGAGTTGCTTATGCTGAA